AAAAGGGGTTGGTTTGCGAAAGAAAAACTCTTTGAGAACCATGGCTTGTGGAGTTTATGGAATCCATGGCTTGTCCTGTCCATGGAATCCTTAGCTTGTCTAGTCATGGAACCTCATGGCTTGCCCAGTCATGGGGCCCGTGGCTTGAGTAGTTCGTGGGGTCATAATAACGATTTCAAAAAATTAATGAATGATTTTTTAAGCAAAGGGATCTTGTGAACCGGTAAGAGAGTCTATTGCTGTAAGCCTAGATAGGATGCTGAGAGTGCATCCTCAGGGGCAGAACCCGAAACTCGGTCCGGGTAGGCGAGGCACTTGGTTAGGTAAGTAATTTGTACTAATTACTTGCTGAAGCCTATAAAACGGTTATTTTAAGTTATATTTCCTTTGAGAAAAAGGATGTGTGGTTCCGGCTATCTGTTGGAACTGAATGTCTTATTTTATTTACTTATTCATTTATTTATTTCCTCGCTCACTTATTATTCATTTATTTATAACGTTTATTTCAAATTATATCCTACTGGGCCTTTCGCTCATGTTTTATGTTTTAAATATATTAAACCCCTCCCAAGAGATTCTAGGAGCGGTGCACAGTAGCTAGATAATTGCTACGGAGCAGCTGAGTTGTGCTGCTGTTGGAATCAAGTGAGGGTTGTGGTCATCCTCTGGAATAAAATGTAAGGAATTGAGAATTCTGTAAACTCTTGAAATATTTGGATTAACTAGACTGTGGTTGATGTCTATTGTAATGATTATTTACATGTTCATGTATGTACGATACTGTATGTCTTGTGGGGTGGAGCCCTGTGTGTTGTCAGAGGCTCGGGATTCTATTGTAATATATTTATATTTTAATTCAGTCGAGTGGGGCTTGTCTAGATATATATATATATATGTAAGTACGTTATTAACAAAAAGGGTCAAAAAGATTGTTACCGTGAGGTGGAGGTGGATATATACCTCATATGCAGATATACCACATGTCATGTATATGCTTAGCTGAAAGGTGACTCACGGCATTAATGAAAGACTACATAGAGTCACTAATGCCATTTCTCACGTGGATCAACCAAAAAAAAAACTTGCTAATGCCATTGTGAAGCATGGCAGAGGAAAAAAAAAAGGGGGGGACGTGAGAGAGTTATGAAGAAAGAAAAAAAAAAAAAAAGAGTTGTTAGGGAGAGACGGAGAAAGGAAAATCAATCATTTTCATTGAGATTTCTTCCGTTCAGTCCCGTAGAAACGTAACCTGAGGCGTTCTAGCGAAAAACCTCAACTTCTGGAGGTAAGATTTCAGATTTTTCATGAGAATTCTATGATTTCTTGATTTGAATGAATAGTAACCCATCTCAAAAAACTTTTGTTAAAGTAAAAATCAGAAGCGAGGTTTTGTAGAACATCGTAATAGGAGTCTAATGGTGTAAGTATTAAAAAGATTGAACGAAGTTTTGGTGGATTTCCATTGAAAATCCGTGAGCTTAGATTAAGAAAGAACATGTCTTTTGTTCAATTTTATGTTAGAATCTGTGTTCAGGAATGTGAATCTTGACTCTAGGTATCGAAATCGGAAGTAGAACGAGTTATTGAAAACTCGGGAAACGAGAAAAATAAGGCGAAACTCTGCTGAAATTTCCTAAAAATTAGTTAGTACGCAATGAGTTAGTAATTCAATTCTAGAGAATGAGTAATAGTTTTAAGACCCAACAATGAGTAAATTGAGGTTTCAAAACTCAAAACACTCAAATTATGGAATTTACCTCTTAAGCTAGACAATTCGGCTTAGAGGAATAAAGTTCAAAAGTGAGTTGAAATTAGATTTAAGAATCTAAGTATGAAGAATTGTGATTTGGAATAGGAAATTTATACCTATTTCCATGAAACAAGTTTTAGCACGAGAGCCGAGACAATGAGAAAGAACTTCCAGCAAGTGGGAATCCTAGCGAATTATTAGTAAGTATAGACATATATGTTTGTCTGGACTCGAGTAAGCTATAGTTAGACTTAGACCTATGAATTTACTTTTGTTCCTAAGTCTATGTGATTATACGTGTTTGGAGGGCTCAGTGCGCTAGATTGCAGAAGGGCGACATACGGCTACCCTTATGCACAATTAAAGTATGCAAGTAGTATTATGCATTTTATGTTAGCATGTGCATGTAGAGAAACGTTGCATATCATTCAGTAAATTTTTTACCACTTTGAAATGAAAAACTCAAAGTTCAGTAATGTAAAGAGACTGACGGGTCGTCGGCCTCCCAAGGGAGGAAATCTCAAAGAGTAGAGAACTAGACCAGATAGTAAGCAGGGGCCCAGGCCCACAGTAACAAGACAGTAAACAGGGGCCTAGGAGAAAGCATGTTTTACATGAGCTTTTTACATCATAACTCTTAATGTAACTTTTCTAGTTTATGATGTGTGCATGTTTATACTTGCTAAGTGTTAGCTCATCAGTTTACTCGTATGCAGGTAACAAAGGTAAGTAGCCAGCCATATAGTGGTTTTGCTTGATGGATCGGCAGAGGCAGGGGTGGCGGAAATGTCATGGGTACACGGGAGTGGTCTCTACTATGCTCGCTTAGAAATTATATTCCACTGCAGAGTAATGCAATATAGAACCAAGTTTATATGTTTCAGTTTTAAGAACAAGATGTTATGGTCATTGTCTTAGTAAAGAACAATAGATTGTAATAAGTTAAGATAAGTTTCGGGAACTAGTTCCATATCTGATTTCTTAAAGTTTTAGCAAGGATAAGTTGTTGCATAACAAAAGAACATGTTAGGAACCCGAGGGTTAAAGAAAAAAATTTACTCGTAGAAAAACTTAAATTAAAGAGATGATAGTCAATATTATTAATAATATTTTTACACCAAAATATTAAAAGAAATATATGAATTTAATTTATTATTTAAAATTATTTATAAAAAATGCATTGTTAAATTTGTTATTTATTGTCGCTATTTTCAAACAGTTTGATAATTATAAAAAAAATTGAGTAAAATTTTACATAGTATATTTATAAAATATTTTAATTTTTAAATAAATATTTTTTGGTATGAAAAAAAATGGGAAAACAGAGACGTAAGTTTTATTATTAAGGTTCTTTATTAAATTTTGATAATGACAGTAAGAGCAGCTGTGTAAAAACAACTCATAACTTCTCAAATTTTACTACTTGACAAGAGTTTTTAAAAGCTGCTGAATAAAAATAAAATTTTACAAACACATGTACTTGTTGTAGCTTCTTAAGGAAAACTAAAAGCAGCCACTAAAAACAATGCTAAACAAACTCTAAAAGTAGAAATTTAAAAGTTGGGCAAACACATGTCCACAACATCAAAACCAACAAAATAAAGAAATAATGACAAATTACACATTTTCTCTTACACTATAAGTCTTGCTACAAAATGTCCTTCAAATTTTAATTTTAGTTTTTTTTTTCCTCCGAACTTCAACCACTCTTACAAATTTCTCTCTATTCAATTTTTGACAGATAATGTTGTGCAAAATGAAAAAATTAACAAAATAACTCCTTATATGATGATTTTTAATAAAAATAACATATATTACATAAAAGTTTCGTCGACAATTTAATAAACAATCATTGTTAGTTCCTCCTCGTGCAGTCACATGGAAACGCAGCATGAGTTATCATTTTTTCTATCATACTTAGCTTTCTTCTTAATTTAGTTGAGGATTATTTTCATAAATACCCTCGAAATATGTACTCTGTTTCAAAATGCCTCTTGATTTTTCAAAATAGTTCAAAACACCATCTGATATATAGAAAACAGTTCGAAATGCCCAGTCCATCCACTTCCGTCTATTATTTTAACAGAATTACCAACGTGACACTAATATCAACACATTAAAACATAATTAAACTTAAAACATGAATTAACAATTAAAACAATTGTTAAATACATAATCTAAAGAAAGTAAAAAAAAATAAAAATAAAAATAAAATAAAAAGTTTTCTGAATATTCCCCAACCAACGAACAGTTTACCCCTAAACACGCAAAATCCAAAATTGACAAACCCCAAAGTTCCCCCACCGCCACCCAAAAATAAAAAAATCGAAAGTTGAAAGTTCCGTTTTCAGAACCTTTGCCCATTTCATAGCAATCTCAGACACCATATCCTGATATCAAGATTCATTTCCAATTCACATAACAATTAACAAGTCAATTGGGAGGAAAAAGTGAAGAATTTTTTTTTAAAGAATCAAAAAATGGATACCGGAGCTCGCTCGATGCCCAATAGGAGCTTAACAAAGCCGAAGGCCGGTCTCGATTGGCGTTTCGCCAACTCGTCCTAGATCGCTGACATCGCCATCTTCAACAGATCGTTCGGTCATCGTCGTCGGAATTAGGCACTGAGTTTTGACCCATTGCCTCCCGAACTCGTCTTCCTCGTTGTCGACGACGTTGTTGAGGTCGTAGATGATGTGGATCCTTCCCTTCCCTCCCTTGGCGAGCCTGAAGAATTAGCCATTCCTAGAAACTACGAGAAGGAGAAGAGGGAGGAGAAAGACGAAAGGAGTCATGTGGTAATAGATTCTTTATTATTTTATTAATACTTAAATCATTTTTACACGTTTAATCAAAATTTAATACCATACGTCAATGTTTAATAATGTGCCACGTCAAAAAGTCTTACTTTATTAGGGGGCATTTTAAACTATATTAAAAATTAAGAACAATTTGAAACAAAGTAAATAATTGGAGAGACGTTTATGAAAATAATTCTTTAGTTGACCTAAAGAGCTTTCGGGGTCTGTCGATGGCAGGTAAAAGCATTAACAGAGTAAAAATAGAAAATTTACAAGGGTTACAAGGAAAAAAATAAAAAAGTGAAATTAAAGTTTGGTGTGTTTTATGACCAGGCCTATAGTTTAAAGGGAAAACGTCTAATTTGTCTAAAAAATAATATAACTTAACACCCAACAAGCAAAATCAAAACTCGAACATTGCGAAGCAAAACAAAATGATAACAAGAACCTTGGACGAATTTTATGGGATTAACCACAACAAATAGTAGCTGAAAAAAGGCCTACAGGAATCTCATAGCAAAACAAATAAACGTCGCAGTACCAATTCAGCAGGTAAACAAATATAAGACCCAACAAGTAATAAATAACATTTAGTGCAAAAATACTTCCGGTTCACGGACTATTAAGTCTTCTAATCTGACAATTCCAAACAAATATTTCAAAGGTGTTTGTATCGGCGGCTCATAACAAGTTTCCTAAACCAAACAGCAAAACTAAGACATCTTAACTCAGAAAGACGAGGGGCAAAAAAGGCCTGGATAAGACAACTATTAAGCAGCGGCACCAGCAGCTTTCCCTTTCTTCCTCTGGAGCTTCTTCATGTAGAACTCAAGCTCCTTACCTTCCAAGATATATCTGATATAGAAGTTCAATAGGAAACATCATTTCAAGTGGTTAAAAAGTAAATAAACAACCAAACAATAAGAAAATTCTCTCGTGGGGTAAGGAAAAACAGAAAGCCTATCAACACGCACAGATATTAACTGCATATTTTCATCAAGTTCTCATGAAGTTATAATTCTGGCGTAATTTGACACTTCAGAATTGTGTTTTACTGATAGTTGTTTTCCCTCCTCAAACCCTACTACAGAATTAGCCTAATTAATGTACCCTAGATAGATAATCCGTCTATGCGTTTGTATAGCCAGTCCCAAGTCCGGGTAAAGGATGAGGGTTGCGGTAGGTTGATGGCCAACGTAAAAATAAGTCACTCTTATGAATTTCACTCACATAGAATCTATTGGAGCGTTCCCTACGTGCGACGCGCTATGCCGGGCTCCAGGAATAATGTTAAATAGGCACGGTGAAATATAAGTCTGATGGGTCTATCGAACGTTATAAAGCAAGGCTGATAGCCAAAGGCTACACTCAGACATATGGCGTGGATTATCAGGAGACATTCGCACCAGTAGCAAAAATGAATACAATAAGAGTGTTGTTGTCTTAGCAGCCAACTTTGATTGGCCACTACAGCAGTTTGATGTGAAGAATGCATTTCTACATGGAGACCTTGAGGAAGAAATCTATATGCAAGTTCCACCTGGCTTTGGCATGAATCTAAAAGCCAATGAGGTGTGTAAACTTAAAAAGGCTTTATATGGGCTTAAACAATCCCCTCGAGCATGGTTTGGGAGGTTCACTAAAGCAATGATGGGTATGAACTATAGACAAAGTCAAGGGGATCATACATTATTCATCAAATACTCAACTTCAGGGGGAGTTACTGCTTTGATAGTGTATGTGGATGACATTATTGTTACAGGGAATGATCCAAAAGAGAAAGAAGCATTGCAGAAGTACTTGGCCAAAGAATTCGAGATTAAAGATCTCGGGAAACTAATGTACTTCCTTGGAATAGAAGTTGCTCGGTCCAAGGAAGGAATTTTTGTCTCGCAACAAAAGTATGTCCTGGATTTACTGAAAGAAACAGGAAAAATGGGATGCAAACCATTGGATACTCCTATTGAGCCAAATCACAGGCTAGGGGGATCCATGGGAAGAGATTTAGTTAACAAGGGCATGTACCAGCGACTTGTTGGGAAGTTGATTTATCTAGCACATACACGACTAGACATCTCATACGCCGTGGGTGTAGTAAGTCAGTTCATGCAGAATCCTAAAGAGAGTCACCTTCTTGCAGTATACAGAATCTTGCAGTATTTGAAAAGCTGTCCTGGAAAAGGTATTCTGTTCAAGAAAGGCACAAGGATGGAACTTGAAGCATACACAGATGCAGATTATGCCGGTTCAGTCACTGATAGAAGGTCAACATATGGGTATTGTACTTTTCTTGGTGGAAACTTAGTGACCTGGAGGAGCAAGAAACAACCGGTGGTTGCCAGGTCCAGTGCAGAGGCAAAGTTTCGGTCTATGGCACAGGGGATTTGCGAGCTGTTATGGCTAAAGATTATACTAGATGATTTGACGAGAAAGTGGCAGACACCGATGAAGCTTTACTGTGACAATAAGTCTGCGATCAATATTGCTCACAATCCTGTCCAACATGACAGGACTAAACATGTGGAGGTCGACAGACATTTCATAAAAGAAAAACTTGAAAGTGGGTTGATTTGTACCCCTTATGTCTCTACTTGTGGTCAGCTAGCAGATGTTCTAACTAAGGGGGTGGCGAGCTCAACGTTTCAAAGAATCATATGCATGCTAGGAATGGAAAATATATATTCCTAGCTTGAGGGGGTGTTGGAAATCTGAGATTTCATATCCCATAGATAGAATGAGAATATTTGTATCAATAATAGGCAGATACCAATTTTCCTAATATAGGAAAGTATGCTGTAATTTTTCTGTTAGTTTCCTTATGTGTTAGTTTCCTGATTATAGAATAGTCAACCTCCTAAAATGTATTGATACCCTAAGTGTATAGATATATGTAACCGTGCCTTTGTACAAGTGAATAAGAAGAATTATTCTCTGATTTCCCACACTCCATACATAGGATTGGATGCGGAAACTAAAGTCAAGTTTTGAGAAGACATGGATGACTTAGTGTATCGTATAGGCAATGAGGATAGCATTTTCATTGGAGGAGATTTCAATGGGCACGTTAGTAAGGATAGGGAAAACTTCAAAATGATCCACGGTGGTTTTAGTTTTGGAGCTCGAAACGAAGAAGGAAAATTTATTTTGAAATTTGCGTTAGGACATGATTTTATCATAACACATTTTTCAAGAAATGAGATTCTCACCTGATAACTTCTAAGAATGGGAGGAACTTGAGCTAGATAGATTATTTTCTCACAAGGTATAGAGAACGTTCTCTATGTAAGGATTGTAAAATAATTCCTAGAAAAGTACTAGCCACCCAACATAGGTTAGTGATCTTAGATGTGAGCATTAAGCTTTGTTATAGGACTAAGATAAACCACCTCCCACAAACTTGTTGGTAGCATTTGAAGGGAATAAAGCAATTGGCTTTTAAAGAGAAGTTAGACGAGGCTACTTGGTCATATATAGGTAATGCAAATACTAGATGGGATGTCATGGCCAGCTGCATTAGAAAAGTAGCAAAAGAGGTACTAGGGAATCTAGAGGTAAAGGCCCTCCTGAAAAAGAAACCTGGTAGTGGAATGAGGAAGTTCAAAAGGCTACTAGAACCAAGAGGGATTTATATAGAAATTTATTAAAGTGTAATGATGTTGAAACTTTTAATAAGTACAAAAAAGCTAAGTGAGCAGTTAGTAAGGCTCGTTCTACTTACTTAAATAAGGTATATAGGAAACTTGAGACTAGAAAAGGAGAGAAAGATATATATAAACTAGCTAAGATAGGATAAAGGAAGTGTCAGGATCTAAATCAAGTGAGGTGCGTTAAGGATGATACGGATCAAGTTCTGACAAAAAATAAAGACATTAGGAAAAGATGGAGGAGTTACTTTGAGAAGCTTTACAATGATGATCATGCGATAGAGTTCAACAAACTTAGGTCACAAGGAGAACCTAATGTGATGTATATGATAAGCCTCTACTTAGACAAGTCTATGTGAGGAAGGGTCGTATAAGGGATTAGAGGATTGTTAGTGTATAGACTTATGTGGCTGGTGTGTGGGGGAGGATGTGCTTACGTGTGTATTAGTATGTACTTACGTGTTTACTGTGAGTGTGTGCACAGGGGATTGTGATTAGTGTTGTTTAGGGGCAGGAATAAATAGAGGGACTCGGGGAAAGGAGAAGGCAGGCAATCATTGAGACAATTTGGGAAAGTCTTGGCATTTCCGCTGAGCAGGGAGTAGGTTTCTGGTTCAAAGAACCAATTCTGTAATTCTTGTGGTTAATTCAATAAAGATTCATTCTTTCTTCTTCTTGATTCAATTCTTGTGAAATAGTTGCTAGAGACTTACCAATTTGGTATCAGAGCATCATCCTGGAAGATTTATGGCGGCAAGAAAGGCAGAAGAGAGGTTCGAAACTATGGAGAAAGAGATAAAGGTGGTTAGGGTTACGATGGAGAAGGGAATTGGAGAGATGGAGAAGGGGATCGATAAGTTTAGAACAGAGCTTACTCAAAATCTCACCGATCTCCGCCGGTTAATCGAGGAGCAGATGAAAATGTTCACGGCGCCGGCGAAAATGTCCTAGAAAGAGGGAGCTTCGACGTCCATGGCAGAACCGGAGCAAGGAGCGGCTCCGACGGCGGACGCGGGATCGCGATTGGTTGAAGTTGCTGGACTGCGCGCGCGAATCGAGGAACGAGCGGGAGATCCTAGGGTTTTCCAGAACGCACCACTACCGGCAAAAACCTTTGGGTTGCGTGCTCGGGGTGGAGAACGACCGGCGGAATCCAGGAATTTAAGGAATTCCGGTCGCGATGGAGGAGATGAAGAGCGAGAAGGCCGACGTGAGGGAATGAACGGGGGGCCAAGGGAAGGTACGCTGGGATGACGTGGAGAGTGGCGTGGGGTTTTCGGTGAACCGGAAAATCCGGGATTCCGTGAACATAGGTGTGGCGTGGGAGGAAACGGATACAGAGGGGGGCGACTTAGGGAGAATGGGGAAAACAGGGGAGTTTTGGGTGAGCTGCTAGAGAATGAAGATTGGACTTCATACCGTCGTCGGCAAGTAGAATGCCCTGTGTTCAGTGGTGATGATCCTGATGGATGGGTGTTCCGAATGGAACAATTCTTTTCCATCAACCGTTGTTCAGAGAGAGAGGCTGATTACCGCTAGTATTGCATTGGAAGGAGACGCCTTGTCTTGGTTTCAATGGCAGAATGGCCGCCGTCCGTTTCACGGTTGGACGGAGTTCAAGTTGTCTCTTTTGCAGCGTTTCCGATCATCGCAGGCTGGGAACCTCTGTGAAAAGTTTTTGGCGATTCGACAAGAAGGTGCGGTGGCGGATTATCGCCGACAATTTGAAGTTTCTGCCGCCCCACTCTTGGAAGTTCCGGAGGAAATTTTGGAGGGCATTTTTGTTAATGGATTAAAGGCGGAAGTTCGGGCAGAGTTAAGGCTCCTAAAACAGGAGGGACTAGGCGAAATTATGGAGATCGCCCAGAGAATTGAGGAGAAGAACAAGTTGCTACGTCGGGAGATTGCAGGAACAAGAGTTCCAAGGCCACAATTTTTGGGAGGACCGCGAGCTGAATTTTCTAATTTGCCGGCTAGAACAGTCCCTGGAGTTGAACGACCATAGCAAGCTCCAACCATGGGGGATAGAGCAGTAAGCCAAAAACGGGAATTTCCTTTTCGAAGGTTGTCGGATTCAGAGTTGCAGGAAAAGAGAGACAAGGGGCTTTATTATAGGTGTGATGAAAAAAAAAATTTTGGCCACCGTTGCAAGAAGAAGGAACTCCGGATTATGTTGGTTAGTGATGAGGATTCCATGGAATGCTTAGAGGA